GGGAAGATTTGTCACCCCCTCATGGAAGTAGAAGGTACTACGAGTCTATGTAAATGTGCGTTGCAAATCATTCCCAGAATATATCATTTATTAATGTAAATATAGATAAAGAGAGCATGATATTCTGTGGATTTATATCAAAACTCCCAACCAGGGTTATTATAGTTAACTAAAACTATTATAAAATTTGTGTTACTTGAAATAAAATACATTTGGTTACACTTTATTTTAAGGTGCTCTTGTTACACTGTAATTATACATATAAGTACTGAGCAATATTAATTAACTACATGTACTTACTATATGGTTAGGATTTGGGTTTGGTTTAGGGTTACTTGCATGTAATTATGCATAATTAATTGTTATTATAATAGTAAGTACATGTAACGTGTAACAAGGACACCTTAAAATAAAGTGTTACCATAAATTTTAACTAAAGTAAATAAAATACAGAAAACATATTTTATAATATCTTTTATTTATTATTTTAGACTTATTTTATTTCAGCTACTTTGTTTAACATCCTGTGCTAAAGTAACTACAACTAAACTAAAATAAACATAAATGAAAAAAATATATAAGCATATTTTAAAGTGACAGAAACATACTGTATATAAAAAACAAACACAAAATATACAAATAAAATCTAATTCAAAATATTAACAAAAACGATATCTCATTGATACTAAAATAACACTGATCCCAAATTGGCTTCATTATAAAAATGTAAAAAAAAAAAAAAAAAATTGTAAAGACAAAATATGATTATTCCTCTTCCTGTAACATCTTTAACCTCTTCATTATTCATTAAAAAGTCAATTACATTAACATAATCTAATGCACTTCTGCTTCAAAATGATTGAATGCCACATTAACTTTTCAACCCTTTAATAAAGAAGAGGAAATAACATTTCTTGTGTAAGTGCATGTACAGACTTATTTATGTACCCCTTGCACAATTGGAAATGTGCACAAATATTTATGCACAATTAAATTTAGGGGATATATCTAAATATTTATATGTAATTATATGTTATGCAGCTAAAAAAATGTTATACTGCTAAAAAAAAGTCGCTCCTTTTTATCATTTTCCCTTTATCGCTCCAATATTGAAATTCACTTAAAATTAAAAAAAAAATTGTTTTAATACAATTAATATTTTTAATGTCATTTTTGGTTTTTTAAAATAGCAGAGATTGTTTTATCCATGTTATGGTGTACATTGAGGAGAATTAGGCTACATAAGTTATTATGTTATTTACAGATTACATGCCAGTATGACACAATATGACAATCTGTGGTGTATAGTTCTATCAGCACACTGCAGTTGGGTTGTGTTGTTGTGTGTTGGGCAGGCAGCCTGTAGATGGAGTACATGACCAGCTCTTGCTCTACATACATTGCCTTAGGACTCTATCATAGAAATCTGAATTCATTATGAAATGGGTGATAAATCATTGAAAATGTATAAATCAATGAAATATATACACATTGTTAATAAGTTGAGCACAATTTTGTCCTCTGCACCAACTCGGCTTTCTGAAATGTGTTCAGAAACAGCAGTAAAGCTTTATCTGTATGGCTTCCAAGATCACAGCTTCAAAATGAGCAAACACTTAGAAATATTCAAATGCATAAGTGCACCGAATCTCTTAGTCACCTTTATGTTCGAAGCAGTGAGATAATGGCTTGTTTAACACCGTGGGTATCTTTTCATTTCTTTTGAAGGATTCCAGCCTACACAGCTCCACCCTGATGCTCCTGCAGCCAGTCCTCACACTGACTCTTCGGCAACCTGCACACTGAGCTGCCTCACTGGCCTGCCAGTTGCCGTGGTAACTTGACTTGTCTCCATTTGCTGTGATCAATGGAAATGTTGCCGTTGCAGGGGATTGGAGCGCTGCCAGCTCTCTCGGAGTGCAGCGTAACTCTCTCCATCTCGATCCGAGACGATGAAGACACAAAGGAAGAAATGGAGGCAGGGGGAAGCGGTGGGGTGTAGGAGGTGGGTGTGAAATGCCATCTGGGTGGTTTCTTGGCCTCTGCGGTCAGGGTTAAATGATCACTCATGAGGCAGGTCATTTAATTTGAGTGTGCTGGTTCTGTAATAACACAAAACAATCAGTTTTAATGACGCTCCTGCGATGTGGAATACAGGATTTTCCTCAAATCATCAGCCTTCCAGATTCTGCTGAGTTTAAATTTCTGTCAGGAGGAGAGGGGGCTGAAATGGCTGTGGTGGCCGTGTGTGTGTGCGTGTGCGTGTGTGTGGAGGAGGAGGTTTTGATTTCAGCATGATGCTGTCATTTCAGCATAAACTTTGACAATTTAGATAAAAGTACATTATAATTAACAGAATCAAAAGCCTTCTTAAAATAAAGGAAGACAGCACCAACAACACCTTGCCTGTCAAGACTGGATTTAATTTGTTCAACAAAGTAACAGTTTGCTGTCTCTGATGTGCCCTAAATCCGAACTGCATAGGATGTAGTGGAAAATAACCTAAATTTAAATACTCTATTAAATGATTACAGATTACCTTTTCAATTACTTTGGAAACCACTGGAAGAATACTAATAGTAGGTCTATAGTTGGTTACATCAGTAGGATCTCCAGTCTTAAATATAGGTGCATTTACTGCTGACTTCCAAGCATTTGGAAAATAACATTATTTTATTGACAAATTAACTAGATGAGTAATGAGTGTGCTAAGAACATTGGTATACTTTTTAACAAACATAGAATCACAATCAAAAACACCTTTAGAACTCTTAAGCTGACCCAAAGTTTTTATTACACTAGACTCATAGAAAAATTAAAAAACAAGAGAATTATAACTTGGTGATACAATATACTTACTTCTTGCACTAAACCCTTGTGCTAAATCTTGAACTGAATCTCTAAAAAAAAAATATTAAATACACTATTTAAGCAATTTGATACTTATTTAGAGCTCAGGAAAAGTGCGTTGCAAAATAAAATCTTTAACACCATGAGCAGTCGAAGCACCTGGAGATCAAAGGGCCGCTGTCTTCATTAAAGCTCTTGAAAATTTAATCAACTTGAATTTAATCAGGATGAGTAAACTGAACACCAGGAGGGGACGAACGAAAGTCATCACCTGGGTTCTGACGCCAGATGATTCATTGTATTCTTCCTGTATTCATTTTGTACAAATATGAGAAATATGAGGAAAGCGTATGCATTTTGTTGTTAAAACTGTGGGTACAATTTTTTTCTTTCATTTCTGGAGGTCAAGCTGCTAATAGTTGGAGAACAGGTAGACATTAGACAAAATATTTTGTTTACTAAAAATCCAAAATTCATTTGATAAGAATTAATGCCAAGAATTTTGACAAGATAAAAATGTATGCCAAGAAGAAATATTTCCAAGTTAAGAATATAAACCCTAATTAAGAATATGAAATAAATAAAGCGAAGTGACAGCTTTCAGTTTAATATTATTTATACGTGACATTATTCCAGAGAGTCTCATCTTTTGAAAAATGATTACATCAGATATCACATAATAAACCCAGCCTACACCTCTCAAAGCTGAAAATAAAGGAAACTGTCAATGCTCAAAATACATTTCAGCATCTCATCTTTCAAACGCATTCAATGTAATCAAATGAACTGAACGTCAATGATTGTGAGACCAGACCCGCCCCATGAAACACACATATAGTTCTTATTAAAATGATAAATTGCTCTGCACTGGAGGCCCCCACTGCTCAACCCAGTCACCATAGCAACAGCCAGAGCTCTGTTTGTGCTTTTGCAGACTTCACGATAGTTGCAGTGGATGGCGTGGGCACTGCTCATGTTTGGAGAGCGTATGTAGGTGTCAGAGTTGACTAGGTGGAAGAAGCGCATACTGGTGCTAGGTAGATTTCATGATACCAAAATGGGCCCAAATACATCGCTGGCTTTTTGAGAGGTCATTATATGACACAAAAAGGCTCGAAACATTATTGTATATAGCTGTAAGCCAGCATAAGCGTGCCAAATGATCAGAACATTTATTCATTTCAGACTACATCTGCAGTCTCTTTGAGATGTAGCAGTGCGATACTGAGAGATCTCTAAACTTAAGAGTCTTGACATGTCTGACATTCATTTGGACTGACAGCAAGCTAATTGTTCATGCCTCTAGAGGAGAAAAGAACATCCTTTGCATCTCTGCAGTACTCACTCAGAGCATTGCATGGCAACAGTATAATTAAACCCCAGGTGTTTCAACATTATTTTTTATTTTTTTTGTAAAATCACTGCAATCATCATTAGTCATAAATCACTGTTTTCTTTTCATCTGAGTAACAACAATTTCTCACAGATGGTGTGCTTTGCAGTAGTAGAAATGTTTCTTTCTCTTCCTGCCACTTTATTATTGGTGGCTTGCCACATCCTGCATCTAAAATTTCATATTCAAGCTGCATTTTATATTCAGGAATGCTTGCACTGCCAGTACTTTGGTTTAATCTGCAATTAATAAGAATTTAAAGTATGACCTCAGCAAGACTGTCTTGCAAATGCTATAAAATGCTCTGGGCTAGAAATTATCTGTGGTGGAGAGATTAAAAATCCAGTTTTAATGAGAAATCAGGCTGTTTAAAAATCAGGTCCCACATGCAAGCATGTCATATATTGAATCAAACCTAAAAGCCTGCAGTATTTTATTGATTAGTATTTCTGGTTAATTACTGTAAATATTTGTCAGGGCTGTGCTGAGGTTAAGTATGATCATTTAGACCTCCAGAGTCATTATGCTTCTGGGAGTTTGCTTAATCAAATGCCAATGATTAAACAAAAACACATGCACTTCTTAATAATCTTGTAAATGGCTCTTGTAAAATCACAAAACAGATATTATTTATCTTGTCAAGCATCAATGAATTGTTAGATTAACAATAGTAAACTATAATATCTGTTCTCACAAATAATAATAATAATAAAATAAATAAAACCAGACAATGTTTAATTCATTTTTATTCCCTGTATCCTGCTGACAGAAACATAAAATGCATTACGCTTGTGTATGGGACAACGTGGGGACTTTGAGTGCCCTAACCATAAGAAGTGGCTCCTCACATTTATCAAGAGCATTGGAAAACCTGACACCCTGCAGCTCTAACCTGGTTTACCACTAAAGCTAAGCAGTGTTGTGCTTGGCCAGTACCTGGATGGGAGACTTATTATGAGAATTAAATTGCTGTGAGAAGTGAGGCCAAGAGAGGGTGCTCACACTGAGGTCTGTGTGTGTGTGTGTACTAATGTCCCAATATTGTGATGGAGATGCTGCTGTATACTGTGAAAAGGCACCATTTCAGATATGTTAAATTGAGATCATTGAAGACAGAAAGAAACACGTGTTTGTTGTCAACCAAGGCAGGGTAAATATAATGAAGCCATGAGCTGCCTTCCTATGATTTATAGGAATTTTTATAAATCGAATGGCTCAGAGTTGTTTACATCTCATGTACATCACTCTCAAATGTCTACTGATTGGTTCAGAATCTACATCACCACCACTAACCTGCTGTAGGCAGGTTTCACTTTATAAATGAAAGAAGTCTATAAAGATGAACAGAAAATATTTCAGTACATAAAAGGGAGGGGCAAGGTCTGCAGTGCATCACAAATGACAATTTATATATTTTCAGCAGCTTGTTTATTGTTGTCATTTATGTTGTCTTTTTTCAAAAACTGCATCAAACGCACGAAGCATCCATTATGGACAACCATCTACAGAGATCCAGGAGCAGCTCAGAGCACCGTGAAGAGAGAGCTGACACACACCAAAATCAACCTGCAGTGACAGCTGCACATGTACATTATAACAGATTGGAATTCTTCACTGACAAGGCTTCACTTCCAACTTGATGACACTCACATAACATGCATCATGTTCATTTAGAGGAGAACCTCTGGGAAACAGCATGACAAGGAGACTGCTATAGTTACAGCTAAATCCCAGCGTTTGCATAATTATTTTTTGTGATTTACACCAAAAAAAAAGTTTTTTCTTTCTCATTATGACACATAAAATGTGGGAATTGCAGGAAATTCTTCACATGGACCTGTTGTCCAATTGATGTTCCACTATAAGGTACGTGATGGATTATGAGAAAATACTTTCCTTAAAGAGTCCAGGTCAGTCTAATATTCATTTGGAATATCTCACAGACAATCCAGTTCACCTCACTTGTTTACACACAAAGAGATGAAGTGATTTATAAGTGCTTATTCAAAGTGCTTCCATATTTCCACCGTTTTACACAGGGAGTCTTCAGTAGACTTGCAGAATGTCCAGAACAGTTTATAAGCAATTATAGTCACGCTATAGAACGCTACCCTTTTGCAGAGCAATTATCATTCATAAAGAGCCAACAAAACACTTTAAATCGGTTTTCACCATGAGAGTTACAAGGCAATCAAATATTTCTAATATTATTGTATCACTACAACATACACTGAACAATCGTGCGAAAAAACAAACATACACATAAATTCAACTTGACATCTCAGTCACAAGTAAGAGTCAAGTGTGAACAAACAGAGCAGCAATAAAATAAACCCAAACCTTATTATACAATCTGCCTTGTAGAAATGTGATAATATGGATATTATGTAAACGCAATACAACTGATGGGAATTTTGATAATGTAATTTGGTTTGCCCTCAGAGGACAAAAACCATTGTGCTCTTAAGTCGTCAGAAGCAGCATCTCTCAAAAGCTCTACTGACTCAAAGTGTAGTGGATCCGATTATTCAGATATCCCTCATGGAATCAAATCACGTAATTAAAACCCAAAGACCAAAAAGTGTAGTTGTGCTCAAATATATGTTAGCACATTGTCACTCTTTGAAATACCTGCCACTTTGTAGCTTTTTATAGTAGCTGACCTGTTCAGTGTGGTTCAGATTGCCCTCCCTATCCAGCAGAACTAGAGGGGTCTTGCGGCGCAGACTGCGACCCTCTGAGGTTTGACCCACCGGTGGGAGTTGAGGGGGAAGTAGTGGCTGGGGAGGTTGAGGAGGCTGGGGCGGCCCGTGGTCAGCCACACTGGCGGAGGAGTGAGGAGAGATGCTTCTGACGTGACGGTAACTGCAGGAGCCCTCACGGTTGAGGTTTTTAAGCTCGTATGACTCGGTTGTGTTTCCATCAGAAGATCCTCTCCACTCCCAGGGGTTATTGGGGTTGGAGGTCATACGAACTACAGGGTGGTGGGGGGCGTGGGCATCAACCGTGATGATGCCTGAACTGCTATCAAGTTCTGAACGATTAGGTGATGATTCTGTGCCTGTGATGGATGAGGTACCAGAAGAGGACGAAGTCTCTGAGGATTTGGCTGATCCTGACAGGAGTCCCTGTTGCTTTGACATGGCAATGACCTGCATGATCCGAGGCTGATTTCCTGCCTTAAGAACTGGAATATTAGCACCACTTTTCTCTGTGATGGACAGCCATTTGGCCCGAGTGCTGGCGCTTTTAGGGGACACAGGCGGGGGGACCGAGGGCTGTGCTGGGGGACGAGGGGACATCACTATTCTTGCACCTGTAGGTGGGTTAGCAGGTTTGGCTGATTGTTGAACAGACGAACAGACTGAAGAGTGGACACTATCCTCTTCTGTGGTTGTGTCGTTGCCGCCATCTGAGCCCTGCTCACTGGTGTCCTCATCGGGCAAGCTGCCGCCTCTCATCTCCATTGACCTTTGCTTCCATTCAGAAACTAATTGCTGTGACCGCATGGGGTCCAGTGGTACTGGAACAGGTACTGTCACTACACGCCTCGTTGGCTCCTCTGGAGCTGTAGCACGGGGTAATGTGTTGCTGAAGGTTACCATTGTCTCCTTACCCATTGGGCTGCGAGGTGCCAGTAGTTCCACGTCCACACTGGCTCTCTTTAAGCTTCCCAATGAGGTTTTCTCCCGCTGTACAGGCCGGTTCAGCCCATCTAGAGATGCTGGTGATGTTATTTCCTCATTGCTCTCAGAGGCGTGGCCTTTGTTATAGACAGAGTCATGGCCTCTCTGGGCCAGAGCCCTCAAAGCATCCTTCTGCAGAAGAGGGGGTTGTGGGATGACAGTGTCCTCTGGAGATTTGAAGTTGGCAACAGCATGGAGAGCCTGGAATGATTTAAAGTGGCTCCATTACATTGATTAGTTCAGAACAAAAAAGAGCATTCCTCTCAACCAGTTCAGTTTAGGGTTAGGTTTAGGGCTGGGGTAGGAGCTTGTACAACATTCATATCAACCAAGGTTAGGGTTGGTGTTAAGGATAGGATTAGTAGTATGTTTGTTAAACAGGAATATTGTTCTAGGACAAGGTGTTGATCCATAATTCTAATTGGCCAAATCACAGTCACTCATTTGATGGATGTTTTTATCCAAAGTGACTTATATTGCTTTCAGTGGCATTTATGTTTTATAACCCCGTATCAGTTTTTGTGTTCCCTGGGAATCAATGTCATTTCGAAGACTGCACCCTCCAGAGGTCACATTTGTTGGCCGTATACGTCACTGAGGATGTCTCGTTACAAAAAAACATTATAACATTTATTCTTTCTGAGGTGTGAATTACTGTAATTTCTTTCTTACTTTGGAATGTAATGGTTACTTTTCTGAATTGAGACAGCCTCAATGATGTATGTGGCCACCAAATGCAATCTCCAGAGGACGCAGCCTTTGAAATAAGGCATAGCAAAAGGAATCATCCAAAATGTGCAGTGCTGGGGAGGCTCCAGAAATGGTGTGAAAACCCCCAAGCTAGGAATACCCAAAATGTGATTTTGCCATGTAGGATGTGTTCCTGGCGGGTTGCAAAAAAATACAATCAAACAGTGTTCCTGTAGCTCAAACAGTAAAGCATTGCACTAGCAGCACCAGAGTCCAATGGGTCCAGTTCCCAGGTAATGCATGACTTTGTGAAATGTATATCTTGAATGCACTGAATGTTGCATCCTTTTTATTTAGCATTGAAGCGTCTGCCTTACAAAAGTAAACTGTTATAGCTCTACTCCTGACAGAACAGTTTGCTAAATGTTGTTTAAGCCCCTATCCCCAGATGTAGGCTTTGCCCAACCTCAAACCCTAGAATCTACCAACATGGAAATTGATGCAGTAACATCTTCTTGGGTAAATCACTCAATAGCACAAAACGCTCAATAGCAACATGTCAAAAGACATTACATGGAGGATGGCTGACCAAATACACTACACCACAAACCAATAACTTACCAGGTATGCGGCAATACCAGCACCAATACAGAACCCAACGTAAACATCAATAGGGTGACTGCGGTACTGGGTGATCTGAGTGAGTCCCGTCAACACAGCCGCAATGGCAAAGGCAAACACCAGAACGGGTTTGAGCAGCTTGGTGCTATCAGAGATTGTTGAGTTGAAGTACATCTAGAAGAGCAGAGAGCAGTAGAGGTCTCCAGCTGTCATGTGCAAATTAATAACATGCTGCCTTGCAGCTTCTGACAGTCTGACAAGCGCAAGGTGGGAAGCAGTAACAACTTATCCCTACGTCTGTTGCTTGAAGTGGATCCTGCCAAATAGCTAGACATGTGAAGCACTTACCTATAATTAGACTTTCTCTAATCTAGCAAACATAACGCAACAGAGCATATTAAATCACATCCTTCTTAAAAAATATGATCCTTGTTGAAATCTATTACTTGTGTCAATGCATATGTGATATGTCTTTTCCATGCACATCTATTATGTTGGCTGGCTGTTCATTATTTCTATCGACAATACAATCAGTTTAAATTGTACTAAACACTCTTCATT